TGAAGGCAAATAACCGGAGTGAGGTCACCACAGAGCAAGCCCAGGTGACTCTCATGTCACTGAATCCAAGAAAAAAAAAATATATATATATATATTTTGGAATGAAAGAGCTATTTAATTCTATCAAAGATCCAAAATGGTTAAGAACAGAAATTGAAAATATGCTCTTGGATTCTGTAACTAAGAAGTCACAATTGCTGGACAATGGCAAAACAACATCAGTACTGCAGACACCAACCATATCACGCCATGACCGACTGATTCCTTCAGGGTTTGCTGACTGGAGTTGCGCTCTTTGAATCGTACACTAACTGGCCCTAGTCAGCTGTGAATGTGAGTACATCTCACGTCATGGTGTCTGTGCTGTCTGCTTTCTCCACTGGTGGTGAAGCACTGCTGGTGTATTTATGGTTCATAGTCAGAGCTGAAGGCAGTTGTTGTCATCATTGATGTTGTTTCCTTTAAGAAAAGATCAACTCACATTAAAAACATTGGTTGAAAAATCAGTGATGCTGACTGCAATGGGGTATGTTGAACTGGATCTGGGAACAGTCAAATACTAGTGAAAAAGCTGGGGAAATGCAAATACAGACTGTAGTTTAGTTAACAGTCATGCCTTAGTGTTAATTTCTTAGTATAACCTAAGCCTGGAGAGAGGCATGTGCCCACTGTCTACAAACAGACAAATACATACAGTTGACGCTTGAACAACACGGGTTTAAACTGCATGGGTCCACTTCCACTTGAATCTTTTTCAGTAGTAAACACTGTACCACACGATCTGTGGTTGGTTGAATCCGAGATGCAGAACCTTGGATAGGAGGGGCCAACTGTAAATTACACACAGATTAACCCCCAGGTTGTTCAGGAGTCAACTGTAAAGTGTTCTAAATTAAGAAAAAAAGCACTTGAAACTAACACAACTTTGTGAATCAACTATATTTCAATAAAATAAATAAGTAAAAATGGAAGAATGTAAAAAAAAAAAAAACCCTACTTATTTGCTTTTCCTGGGACATACTTCAGCTTTGTGGGTAATGATTTGCATGTATAATTCACATTATCCCAAAGCAAAGTCACCCTCCTTCTTGTCCTGGTTAAAAGTTCATCCCTGCACCTGGGGCCAGAGCCCCTCTCTCTCTGGTCTCATTGAAGCCAGTGGGGTTTTAACCAAAACTCTGGTCTTGAAAACATTCCATCTTTCAGCCACTTGCTTGCAAAGGGGAGTTAATGTTTCAAACTTTTATTTTCCAATACAGTGTTTTAATATTTCCAGATGCACCCTTTTTCGTGGCATGACTTGTGTTAAACAGTGATTCACAAATATGGACCCTATGATGCAGGGCTTTTGTAGAATCTCATTCATTGAATTGCATTTTGGCCATAGAAGAAGACTACCCTCTCTGTTAGCAAGCATAAGGACAAAAACTCCTTATGAAAAGGAAATGGCCAGCGTGGAAGGCTTTTTCCTATACAGGTGGTGACTCATTCAAAATCTGAAATTTGCCTGCCTATTACACCTTCTCTGGTGGGAACCACAAATATAGAAAATAGTCATTTTATGCAAATACCAACAAAAAGAGAAGCCTATTTTGGGTTTTCTCATGCAAATACATTTGGGGAAACTAGCCACCCGTGGTATTTCCTTTATGAAAATCCCTGGTGATACTTTTCTCTGGTTTCTTAACAGTACTTACCCCAAGCAGTTGCTCTGTTTGTTATGTGATAGGTCTTGTAAATTTTTGTTTTGTCTGTGGAAAAAATCAGAGCAAAATTTGCACCTTACCCTCCCCACTGAGTTGGACCTGATGGCAGGCAGTATGTAACGTGTACTTACCCGTTTTCAGCCTATTTTCCTCATCTTGTTTTCACTTAGTTCCAGTTTTCTCTTTCACACACACAAACACACACACACACACACACACACACACACACACTCACATGTGTTTTAACGGTATTGTCAGTGTACAATTTGACAGCATTCAGTACATAGTTGAAGTAGTCATCACCACTGTCTATATCCAGATCTTTTTCTCCTTCTCTGACAAAGATTCTGTACCCATTAAACTATGACCCTCCTGTTTGCTCCCTCCCTCTTTCCCCTGGTAACCTCTACTCTACTTTTTGTCCCTGTGAACTTGCCTCTTTTAAGCGCCTCATGTAAGTAGAATCCTCCAATAGCTGTCCTTCTGTGTCTGGCTTACTTCACCAAGCAGAATGGTTCCAGGACCGTGCACATTGTGGCATATGTCAACATTCTGTTTCTCTTCATGGCTGAATAATATTCCCTCAGATCTGTTTGGAGAGAAGGCAGGATTTAAAGAAGGAAGAGGTGGAAGGAAGAGAATTAAATAAAATAAAATGTGGAATATGCCTAAAATAGAGAAAGTGTTCTGCAAAAATAATAGTTTGAAAAAGTACTGACGTTGCTTTGCAGGCAGCTAGGAGTTGCCCATGGGGTAAATGGTGAAATAAATTAAATGAATATAGATAAAATTTTTCTGCCCCCACTGTGTCCTGCCCTCGTCATCTCCAACCCCAGCTCTCCAGCTCTCACAGCACCCTGCCCACTTGGACTGTCCCATACTGTCTCTGCAATCAGGGCTCATGTTTGTTTCTCAGCTGCTCACCATCTTTGGGATTGAACACCTCCTCATCCTTAACAGGCTATCATGTGGGAAATGTATGCAATGGCATTACTACTGCTCCTACTACTAATAAACCCAAAACTAATAAAAATATTTAGTGTGATACTTTTATTTTTGTTTGATTGAAAGGAATTCAGTTTCTAATGTTGGAATTTCAGATCCCTGAACAACCGTCCAGTGTGGTGATGATTTTTCTCATGGTATAAGATGGTGAGATGGGCATAGTCTTTCTCAATGTCTTGAAGCCACATCACCACACTGGGTCATGATCACAAGCAAGTTCCAGGAAGACACCAAGGACATTGCTGCTGCAGGCTGTACTTCTTTCTGTGACTGCTTAAAATGAGGTGCGGGGAATTACACTACCTAGACAGATTTTGATGCTTTTTCTGCAACAGAAAAAGGAGGCTGATTCAGTTTCAGTAATCATTCAGCCAAGCAATCATCTATGTATATTCTTCCTAAACTTCCTTTCTGTTGTATTCTTTTTTCTCTTGCTTTCTGGAAAATTGTTGGTTTGTCCTGTTAAGCACTTGTATATTTCATACTTGAAGTAGTTTCATTTTACTGTTGGATAAAATCTAAGTCCTTGGTAGTTGGGAATGAGGTTAGCGCTTATAATGTGATGAGAAGTACAAAACACTTATCCTATCCTTAGCTCTGTTAGGGCTCCAAGGACATTCATCATAAAGCAATCCAAGGGTCTGTCTTTGTGCCTAAGGGAAACAGGTCCTGCTGACCCAGTAAGCAGTTTGGTGACATCGCCTTCAAGGATGTCTTCTCAGGTTAGTCCCCACCATCATTTATTATAAGTCAATAGGGAGGAAGGTATAGCTCAAGTGGTAGAGCACATGCTTAGCATGCACAGGGTCCTGGGTTCAGTCCCTAGTACCTCCTCCAAAAATAAGTAAACTTAATTACCTCCCCCCTGCCAAAATTAAATAATACAATAATCAATAAATGAAATATTCTTTAAAAAGTCAACAGAATGTAAGGTTTTGTTCCTGGATCTGCATTTCCCTCTTCCTTCATTTGCTTTATACACTAGAAAATATTGCTAGAATCTCTTTGAAGGTGTTGCCTTCAACAGTGACACACTATCTCTTATTTTTAGATGTTAAATTTCCTCCTTTTGAAGAATGTTCTGTAGCAGAATCTGAGCTTCCCAGTGGCTGGGGCTGTGCAGTGCTATCTTGGCACGTGAGCCCTGGTGGGTGCTTCCTGAACATTTTGGAATGCATGCATCAGTGCCTGATGAGTAACTGCTTACAGAAGATTGGAACATGCAATATGTGTTCTATGATGCTAATGGGTAATTGGGAATAATCTTGGATGATTGTTAATTTCACTTCTGAGGTTTCTCTGTCATCATTCATTTTGGTATTATAACACCTTTCAACAGCTGGACTTGTCAACTGGACAGCTCAGTGGCCCTCTACTTGAACATGTCCATCCCTTGCCTGGCCTCTCTAGCTGCAGTAGAGTAACATCAGACAGAGTGATGGTGATAAGCACTCCACTCATTATTTGTGAAATAGGGATAATAAGACTTCATAGAGTTCTTATGAGAAAAGAAATCAGGATGGGGCCAGGCGTCTGATAAATTATTTTTTTCTCCTCTCTTGTTTGAGTCAGGAGTTGTAGGGGGAAGACAGATGGGGCGAGTAGTTGTCAAAAGACTGCAAAACAGAAAGTCTAAATGCAATCAAGAAAAATCATTTGATAGACAACTTGTGTGCTGCTAAGTTAGAATATTTGTTTGACATGGTTTGTGAAAAATGACTTCTTAAGTGAGATACTTAACAACAGCGTTGGTTGACACTGTAAATTATAACATCCTACAACAGAATTTGTGAGTGATGCAAAGGCACAAAATAGTCCAACTGCTTAAGAAAATAACTGTGTTTCTATATAGTCTAATTTGAAGCAAGGGAGAGAAATTTAGACACCAAAATAAGGGTAGGACTATGTACAAAGACTCAAAATGACTGAGCATCCGTCCAAGTGGTTATGACTTCAATCTGTCCTGCGGGTGCCTTCCCGGCTACATTATTTCACACGTGTTATTTCTGTGATTTTAAAGCTGATGTTTCTGGTGCTTACTTAGAGCAGCCATAGACTCCCTTGGATGCTTAATCAGTTAGAGAGAGAATTGGTGAAGTTTGATTGAGTCAGCCAGTTTAGACATGAACTTTGGGTTGTTCAAATCAAAATGTATTTCTCCCCTAAGAAACTTCTCCATATTTATTGATACAGATGTCTTCTAGCTCAGTTTGATGTTAATAACATAGACACAAGTTTAAAGATCCAGTATGATCAAGTATGAAAGGATGTAACACACATTGAAAACACAACTGTAGAATCATTTCTGTGAAGCTAATGCAGATATCCCCATCAGTCTCTGCTGAGCATTGAACAGACCGCACCAGAAACATTTCCTCAAGTCGTCAGCAGAACCCAAGACCAAATAGCTCCTGCCCTTTACAGGAATACTTGATATCCCTGAACTAATCAATAAGTAAACTTTTAAAGAATTCAAGGTCCAACAGCAGCCCAAGCATGTTTACTTGTTAACATCAGGCTGATCAGTTTAATATTAGTAATGACATGAACTTTAAAGACACAGATACATTTCATGGCATGACTGTACAAAAGCAGCCTATTAATATTAATCACTTACCGCCTGGTGCACCGCAGACCTTGAGTACTGTGCTGGGTATTTGGTACAATGATGGATGAGTAAGGTATCATCACATTCATTTCACATAGTAGAAAACCACGGGGAGCTCCTGCACCCAATAAGGTGTATACTAAAGCTGTTCAGATTGAAAGCCAATGGTTTTGTTTGTTTGTTTGTTTGTTTGTTTGTTTTCCATATTGCCACTCCAAGATGCTACCATTTCAAGATGAACCGTATCTGAACTGATTAAAGGTGGAGAAAGAAGGCAGAAGAAATTGGAAAATGAATGAGTGGCAATGAATAATTTTTTTCCTCATACATTTTTACTCTCAGATGGAGCAGTGGGGGAAGGCCAGGACATCCCTCAACCCCCCACCTGCAGCAACCACGCCCTTTGAACTAGCAGATCATAGCTCTTCATGAGCCAAGAAGAGTTACTCTGTCAGATAAAAACATTTGGAGTATTTAGACCTGACTGACTCACAGATTTTCTTACTTGTAATTGTGCAGTTCTGGGCTGTGGTTTGTAAAATTATTATAGCTAAGTGCATAACATAATAAACTCAAACAATGTGGGATATGTATTAGTGATATGAATAAAGAGTCACAGTGAATTAGAACCGAAAGGCTAGTTTTGGCTGAATAAAGGCAGATGCTATAAATTGACAGATTAGACAAAAGTCAGCAAAATTCAGGACCTGCAGTTGGAGTATGACTGTGAACTTGGGTGTGTGGATATCTGGTAGGTTTGGGTTTTTTAAATTATGTAATAAGGAAATCTATGATTGAATGGTGTTGAAGGATATGATTTGATTGCTAGAGAAATCTACACTGTAATATTTTGGCTACATACTGAAGTAATGGTTAACTTTTATTTTGGGGCTAACGGAGATATGTTTTGGCATCACTGTCACAAAACCTCATATAGTAAAAGACAAATTAGATGCTGATTTACAACATTTGAAGAATAATATATTACATTTCCTGGCAAGTGGAAGGCATTTGTAAGTTTCTGCTTAGCCAGTTTTCTTCTGAAACTACACACTCTTATTATAACATTCGACAGTTGTTTCCCAATTGAATATGAAGATTCTTCATTTTCTTTATAAGCTGGCAAGTTAGTGTGCTCTATAGAAATTGCAGAAATCAAAATCTGGTATTTACAAATAAAAGAATGCACGCTTATTCTTTTAAAAAGCTGAGCAAGGTGTAGGTGCATGAATGAAAAAGGAAACTTCCCTCAACTCTAGCCACATTCTCAGTGTTTTGACTCCATATAGTGTTCTTTGACTATATAAACAAATATATTGGTATTTATATATACATCCTTATACACACATACAGTTACAACAGAGAACTTGTTTCACTCAAACTCTTCTGAAATCTGACTTTTATTTTTCATTCAACAGTGTATTCTGGACATCTTTTCATTCAGAATATATAGAATGACCTTATTATTTTTAATGTTATCCCACCGTGTGTATGTAACAATATTTATTTAACCAATTCTTTATTAAAAGTGTCTCCTTTTCATGATTTGAAGTAATGCTCAAAGACTATCTTGCAAGACATATTTCCTAAAATGATTAAATTTGAATTGGTTTTCTCCAACTCATATCTGATTGTCCTATGGAAGTTATATTGAAATCAGTATGAAATCGCTGAATTACCGAAAATTAGGAGAAAGAACACGTATATATAAACTAACACATTGCCGATAAATAACATTTACATCTATTTTTTTTATTAGCCAATCATATATACAATAAACTAGCTAATGGACTTTTTTTCCTCTATCAAGTCGTTGCACTTCTAGAAGAGAGTAGTGCTTCCCAATCTTGGGTACACTTTAGATTTTTTAAATCTTGATTCCCAGGCTGCGCCAATTAAATTAGAATCTCTAGGGGGTGAAACTCAGCCTTCATAAAGCCCTCCAGATGATTCCAGCATGAGGTGATGTTGGAAACCACTGACTTAGAAAAAAAATAACTCGTTTAAAATGAGCTGCTTCCTGGAGAGAAAGCACGAAAAAAACCCCAGTAAATTAGTCTGTTATCAAGAATTTAATATATGTGGGGGCAAAAATGTCCACCTCATGCTAATTTTTTGCAAGAGATTGAAAGTCTCCTTTTCTAGCTTAATTGGTTAGTGGGAGAGCAGAGAGAAATGGCAGCATCTCGCTGGGCGCGGGGCAGGCCCGTTGCCAGCTGTCGCTGCTCGTGGCTCCTGTCCTTCGTGGCGCTGGCCTGGGTTGCATTGTATCTCTCTGGTTATTGTCATCACTCTTTGACTCGTGCTTCTCTGTGCCGGTAGAGGGTACCCTCTCGAGTTGGGGGCTTCAGGCTGCTCCAGAGCAGGGCTCCCTCCCCAGGGCCAAGGGTGGTGCTGACGCTTGATGGGCATTGGCTCCGTGAATGGAAGGCTAGCTCTTTGGTACTTCCGAGGAGGGGTAGACAGTGGTCAGAGTGTCGCGGTGACCACCGTGGGAACAGGCCCTTTTGGTTTTCACTCTTTGAAAACAATTGTACCCTAGATTGTGAACTAAGTCCATTTTACTGGGAGAGCGGTCAGGATGTATGTCACTTAATGAATGGATTTTCAGTAAGAAAAATGTTTGGGAGAATGATGGTCTTGCATCATACACAAATAGGGAAAGTGTGAGAAAAAGATAATAATGAAGATTATTAGGAAGAGAAAAGACATTTTGTTTAACATAGTAGTGAGTCCATGCATCAGGAAGGCAGAAGGGTATTACGTATTTTTCTTAAAATCTTGTCCTGTATTTAAGCAAGAAATAATTTGAAGGAAACACGTTTCCCATTATCATCAGAATGGAGAAGATTTGGCATAAAATGAAATTGACATTTGAAGGGATCTGAAAGGGTCGCTTCAGCACTGGAGGGAGATTTGGAAACTAAATTGTAAGAAAATATTCTAAAAGTTCAGCTGAGGCAGCTGAAGACATGTAAGTTACCATGTTTAATGTCCAATATTAAAATTAATGGGGTAGGTATGACCCAGAAAATAAAAATGATCCTCATGTGCTCCAGGACCCTGCAAAACCTTGGTCTGAATATCTAATTCAACTGTTGAAGAAAGTACTAAATATTTCAGCCTGCCATGCAAATTTTTATTTGTATATTTGAGGAAGTTATGACAAGTATTTTAATGGTCAGAGACAGTGTGTAGATGATGACAAATATTGTCAAATTAAGATAGATTTCATTTCTTTACTGGGTAAATGCAGAAATAGGAGAGTCCCAAGTGTATGAGAATAAATGTGTGAGTAGGTGAAGAAATTATGGATGTATTAAAAAAAATAAAGTGTTTTTGTCATATTTACCATCATAATTATATTCAATAAATCATTTTCCCTGTGCTTACTTCTTATACTTTTATGTCCATGCTTCCGAAACAGTTTCAAATTTGTCATCGTAAGAAATGTAATGGTGAAATGAGTTTATCTTTATACATTTACCATGATCTTTTGTCCCAAAAAATCGGGCCATTTTTTATGCAGTTAAGTTTTTATTCTTCCATTTATTATTTTTTATTGTGAACATCTTCATTTCCTTGTGTTATTGTATTTTTTATCATTTCTAACGTTATATGTAGGCCTTACTAAGAATGTCTTTTCTCACATACAAAGGAATCTGGTATTTTTGGTTTCAAGTGGCCATTTTAAAACAGAATTTAAGGGCAACACTGGTTTGTTCAAAGTAATCATCTTAATGAAAGAAAATAAATTAGATGGCCTATTGTAGTGTATGTAGTTCATTATTATGTAGTGTTTTCATCTCTAGTAACCCTATTTCTCATTCTGTGCCTACTGAGAACAAAGGAATAGCATTTCGGTAATGTTAAGTGATGACATAAGAAAAGTTCTAATTACTACTTAGAGATCTATTTCGAGACTGCTTAAATCTGGTACCTTCTATCTTAATTTATCCTAGAGTATTTTGCAAATTAGGATAATAAACATATGTTTAACACATGGGAAGATTATTATGAGAAAATCTGAAATCAGATGAAACTTGGTGTCATGTTCGCTGAGATAGACTCCCAGATTTGAGGAGCTCTGAACATTTTGTAGAATTAGAATTACATTGCTGGTAGACAGGCCCTAGAGAATAGTCGGTCCATTACCCTGTTCTACAGATAAAAACCAAGGCCCAACAGATAGTTACTTAGGTAACTATGAGCCATGAGTAGAATTCAGACTCCCTTGATTCCCAGTGAACCACACTTCTGTGTCATATTTTATTTATGTCTAAGTGAATCAGGCCCAAGTATTTGTCCTCTACCATCCCCCTTTTCAATAGCATTCTTTTTCATCATGGAAATAAAAATTACCCTGTTTCCTCCCTTTAAAGCTTGCCTGGAGATGTACAGATGAAAATGATGTTAGCACAGCCCAAACCGGAAGATGTTTGGTACAAGTGTTTAGACTGTATTAAGTTAAAGGTCAGACTTGGAAAAGTCAGAATGGATTAAAAGCAAAACCAGCATAAGCACTAAGACCAGTATCCCCTAAAAAGATAAAGCAAAGATTAGCTACATGTTGACCCTGTTTTACTGTGAAGTCACTAAAAATATATAAGTAAATTACATATGGTTGACATTAATTTTTTTGACTTTCGGAATAGATTTTTGTAATTATAATTTCCTGTATTCATGCATAAAACTTGTTGAAAAGACCAAAGTCAAATACACTGACCCTCAGGAACTTAATTTTCTCAGTTCAAAAACAGGACTTCCTGAATAATTTCATCAGAAGGTCACTCTGCTTGCATTTAAAAGGGCCAGCAAGACCTCAGGAGAAATTCTCGCTTAATGTTGTCTATTTAAGCACAG